TTTAAAGGTTAAAATCTCATTCAAGTTTATGTCTTATACAGTTTATACTGAGTTCAATATTGTATAACCATATTAATTCAACTGTGAAACTACAAATTTACAGTCAATTTTGAAAGTGGTGCATCTTAGCTCAGGAAATTGTTAGCAGCAGCTTCCCCCCTCCCCAACAGGGACCTACAGACTTTGGAGCCCGAAAAAGGGAACTTAGCTGATAAGCACCTTGACCTTTTGAAGTCAAGGGAAACAAACTCTGCTGAGCAGCCTGCCTTTCCTCTGACCTCCAAAGAAAAGATAAGCAGATTCTACCTGATAACCAGAGATTTTAGAAGCTGTTTTTCTCTTATCTTAAGAGGGAAAAAGTAAACACTTCCAGACCCTAATCCTACCTGCTTTTCCTGCTTCCCCCTCCCTGATTTCTCCCTCAAACATTCCCCCTTCTATACCCTAAAGCCCCCATACATAAAGTCCCAGCTCACAGCCTGTGGGTTGACATCTTTCCCTCCCCTCCCCTGCCCTTCCCTGACATCTTTTCCTTCCCTGAGGGAAACATGTCCCATGCGAAATAAAGCTGTATCCCGCTGAGAATTCCATCTCTGCCTCGCTGCCTCCTCCATCCACTTGTGCTCTCCACTGCACGCTCTCTCCAACATTTTTATCTATCAGAAAGAGACACATCTTTACTCTGGAAATTGTTATTGAATATCTTAATGCTGTAATGAAATGCTTCTAATCATGTGGTTATTAACTAAATATTTTTTTAAAAAAGAATAAAGCACAAAAAAATAAAAAATAAAAAATAAATAAATACTTTTTAAAAACCTGGGCTGGAGAGTTGGCTCAAGAGTTAAGAGCACTGGCTACTCTTGCAGAGGACCCCCATGTTTGACTCCCAGCACCCACTTGGTGGCTAACAACCATCTGTAACTCCAATTCCAGAGGATCCGATGCCCTCTTTTAAACCTCCATGGGAACTGCCCAACATGGATGCATTTACATACATACAGACAATAACACTCATACACATAAAATAAAATTAAAATTAAAAGAAAATTCTACAAAATGCCCTGGGATTTAATCTAATTTTTTAAAATCTAAATTTCCCTAGTCACTCACAGTGCATAGAAACAGAAAAATAAATTCTACTTTAAAAATAGTATTGGTCTCAGTATCAGATGCTTAGCCATTGGTATAAACAGAGTACAAACAGCAACTGATTCAGTAAGAAGAGAATGGCCACTGCCGTAAGAACAACTACCATCTTCTCAGTGAAGCCTTCCTTGTTCACCCATTTAAAAATCTCAAATATCTCCCCATGAGTTCTCTAGTCCATTTCATGGTCTGATTTTCGACCATAGCACATACTGTAATCTAACACACTGTTATTCCCTTTATATAGCTCTTTGTATATGTGTTCATTCATCCTCTGCTCTTTCTAGTAGAATGTTAAGTCCAAGAAGAAATAGCATTCTCTGTTTTATATATAT